CATAAAACCGCGCCTGCTCTGTTGGCTCTAGAGCGGCGGCTTGAGCAGACCGACGGGAGTGACAGACGGAGGGGCTGAGGCTGCCACTTGTGCCCCACTTTGGCGGCGAGGTGCACGTCAGGGCGGATGGGTACAGCGCAGCACCCTCCTCCTCCTGCTCCTGGAGACCGGCCTCCTCCAGTGTGATTGGAACAACGGGAAAACCTTTCAGCCGCCACCAGAGGCCAGAGCGCGCACCGCGCAAGCTAGACTGCTTGTATTTTCCGTGTCGCTCTTTTCTTTTTCTCTCTCTCTCTCTCCGCGGCGCATTAAATTAAATTCGCTCGCCTCTCATCTTGTTCCACGTCAACACTCTCTCACTCCGCCTGCTGCGCGCGCGCCCGCCTCGCACCTGCCTCTCCGTGTGGCTCACACCGCTGCCGCTGACTGGCTGCTCCTCCCCTCTCCCCGCCAGACCAGGCTGCTTTTAATTTGTACCCTCCGGGGAAGCCCCGACCACCACGCCACGCCACGCCAGCGGGTACTGGACGGGGACGCCCTCGTGCCTTTCAGGGCCGGGCTGCGGCTGTGCGGCGCGCTTTCATCGCGACCACCACCACCACCAGCACGCCCGGCGAGGTGAGACCTGGTCTCGGTCTCGGTCGTTCATATTCCCCCCCAAAGCCACTTCATCACCCGCTCAGGAGCCTCAATGACGGTGAAAGAGGCCTGTGACTCATACCTTTTTTTTTCGGGGGGTGTGGGGCGAAAAGAGGGGGAGTGCTCTTCGGTCGGTGCCGTAGTAGGCGAGAAGCCCTGCTGGAGTGTGAAAGTACTCTCTCTCTCTCTCTCTCTCTCTCTCTCTCTCTCTCTCTCTCCCTCCCTCTCTCGCCCCCGGGCACCCTGGCCCAGCGCCAGCGCCGCGAGGATAGAGAGATATTTGCAGCACCGTTATTGGCAGCGCCCCGGACCGACCGGCACAGACCAGATCCAGCGGGGCAAATTTGTCGCCTCCGAAATCCTTTCTTCGTCCTCGCGTCGCAGTTCCTGAATTAGTTAGAGAGGGCGGAGGGAGCTGATGGGAGACAGAGGAGAAAGAGATAGTGCTTTGTCCAACAACAATAATAATAAAATAAAAAGAGAAGGTCGCGTGGAGGGAGATTAATAATCTAAAATTCACTATCGAACGGGAGTATCCCATGCTTATTGTGTGCCGTAAGTCGCAATCCGCAAGATATCAGCTGGAAAATGCGCCCGTCATTCGCCCTTGTTCCAAAATTGCCAAAATTCGGCCGATGCAAGTTCTCATAGCGCCTGGTAGGTAGGCAACATTGTGCCTGCAGCGCATGCGCGTTCTGCGGGTTTGCCTACCCCGAGTTTCGCAGGCGCTGAGGCTTGAGCTCCCGTCGTCATTCATTCTGCCGAATGAATCTGAGAGAAACGGACGCACTTCCTAGACCACCCCTAATAAGGGCACGAGGGCACCACCGGTTGATGAATCGACGTGGACAACCCACGCCCGTCTCAGCCAGAGAGTGGTGGCGAGTTCTCTGCCGCGGTGGACTGCTCGCGTGGGCAGCCCAACCGACTCGGCACTCAGCGAGTGTCTTCCACTTGCAAGACGAGTTTCCGAAACGGATTTCAAACTTGTCTGATTACCGCGCGCCACCGCGGATCAGGCGCTGGGCAGGCCGCGCGGAGCGCCCGGACGGAGGGCAGTAGTGACGGGGCAGTGACGGGGCAGTCGTGACGGGGCTGTAAAGGGGCAGTGACTAGAGTTGGAATATTCCACATTTTTCCGGAAAATTCCCGAAGTCTGGGAAATTTTTAATTTTTTACTCGGAATTTTTTTTCGGAAATTTTCCTGGAACTTTACAGGGTTTTCAACCCTGGCAGTTACGGGACAGTGACGAGGAGCGTTGGGGGCGGTGCCAAGGGCGTAACGCGTTGGGCCCCACGACACCTGTCGTGCAGGTGTCTCCACACTCGGCGGCTCCTAACTTGGCGCCCGTGCCCCAACAAACTACCAGAGTAGTTTGCGGGCCGCGTGATCCGCGTCCCGAACTGGCCAGCAGCGCGAGGCCCGCGAGAGAGGAGGGCTGCCGAGTGCGGCCCGCGAAGAAATGGACCGAGATAGTTGCCAAGAAGAGTTTCGGCTCGCTCCTGCCTGATTCCGACGACATGCCCATCCCTCCCGCCCCCCTTCCTCTCTTCTTCTCCAGCCCACCCGATCCTCTGCTCCGTCTGCCGTCAGAGGAGAGCAGGTGGTGTCTCGCGCCAGACGGGACAAAACTCCCCCAAAAAAGTAGGTTTCCAAACAATTCATACGCAATAAATAAGTCGTGATTCATTTTCTAAAAAAAAAAAGCCGTTCAAGTTCACTTCAGTATAATTATCATCAAAGTTAACAAAAACTCTTTCAATCGAGCTTCATCGAAGTTCAAAAATAAAGATACAATTTCTCGTAGGGTACTATTTCCTGGGTAACTCCAAGGCCCAGCAGCAGCCCTTCCCTTCCTGCTACGTGACACGCCCCACGCCCCAGTAATGAGATATCAGGAAAGGAGCAAAGCATTAGTCCGCCATTTGGTTTGGAGACGTGATGCCGGCTGGCGGCGCGGGGTCACGAGTAGGGCGGAGAAGAAGTTGGGATGGGGGAGGACGTGCGCGACTCGCCCGAAAGGATCTGCACTAGCGTGAGGCCGTGCAGAGACAGATAGTCAGAGAGTTGTCCTGCTACGCTACCGAGTAATACCAACCAGGGGTCCGCATCAGGATTTTTCGAAATTCCTATAGGAATTACAAGTCTGTGGTAAATTTATAGACTTTCGGTAAATTTACCAGACATTCGAAGGTAAAAGTACACTTTTTTGGTATTTTTACTATACTGTTCCTGTAAAATTACCAAAATGGTAATTTTACATAAAATGTGCAGGAAAATTACCATAGTCTGTAAAATTGCCCCACCACTTCTGTAATAAATTTACCAAAACCTCTGTAAAATAACTAATATTTTTAACAGTGTACCAATTGATTGTTAAAAAAAATTGTTAGAGGGGTGAAAACGGCATAATTTTGGTTATGAAACTTAAGTTTGTCATTAAAAATCAGCAAGTGACAATATCAAGAAATTCTTGTGACGAGTTTTAGGTATTCATATGGCTAACTTACAGGAAAAGTTTCGGCATTGTAGTGCAAACCATTACCGAGAAATCTTGCGCGCAAGAATTTTAACTGTTTTGTAACACTTTACTAAAATTGTCGTTCAGGGTGACTCTTGAGAGTTAGGATACTTTTTAAGGCTGGAAAATGGTCACAATAGACCAATAGTTAAATGCTTTACCTCGTCCACAGTCCCACACTCACCATATCCCTACAGGACACTTAGTTTTAGAGCACTAGAATTGACAAAATTTTGTCCTGACCCCCCTTAAACATGTTGTTTCAATCACGAATATTTTTGTTCCTCAATTCAAGAAAACTATCTTCTACTTTTTCTTGATGCTAGAAAAATTATTCTTGGCTCGCTGAAAAAAACTTTTTTGTGGGTTCACCGTAAGACAGACGCTATGCGTAATACAATAACCACAAATTATTACACGAAGCCCGCACATTATAATACAAACATAAAAATTGCCAGAGAAAACATCCTCGGTGGCGAAGGGCAAGCATTCAACCGCAGGGCAGAAACAAGAGAAACAAACCTTTGCGGGGCTCGGCTACGCTCCTTTCGAGCCAGAGGCCCGGGAGCACCAGCGCGCATGAGAGCTTCCCTTCGGTTCCACGAACAAAAAATGTAGCAACAGCCCCTCAGCCCCTCTCGTTTAGCCATCGATAAGATCGGCACCACCCTGCTGAACTAACTCCTCCCGACTAGCTTTGCAGCTGCTGCATGATCCCTCCCCAAAACTCCCTCGTTATATCGCGCTGGATCTATAGGAAGAGAAAATTTATGCACCATTCATTCCACGAAATGAATTTTCCCACCGTGGCAGATTTTCTCTCTGCTTTTCTCCATATTCCGTACC